GGTGAACCCTCGCTCACTTCAATGCAAGTTCGCCGGGAAAAGGAACAGGAGCTCAGAGCTAATGATATCTACTGGACAAAACGTCTGCAGACACTCGAGGCGAACCTCCAAAAAACGAACCAGATTTTGGAAAAGGAATACAACGATGCGGTAAGTTGAAGGCATAATTAGCTAATATTGGAAAATGTTTGTCACAGATAAGTCGAAACTGTGCGGTCTATTTCATTAAGGTCTGGTGGGGCAAGAGTGCCACCTTACCAATCGTACCTTCTTGATATGCCAAATAGTGGATATTAATAGGAGTTTCTACACCGTCTTGCAAGTTCATATTATTGCCTTCATACATCAGCAATGTAATGCAAATTAAATCTCGTCAATAGTTGTTTACGATATTTTCATCTCAAATCTTTTTTGAAACTGCAATGGGGCAAAAGGGCCATGCGTCTTAAATTGAGTGAAATCTATTAATGCTTATTTATAAACATAGCCTCTTGATTTTTAATCATGTTAACAACAGCTGTTATTGTTTACTCGATTTAACTATTGCATTTTACAATATTATTCAATGCATAACAAATGAACTATGTTTACCTTTGAATTCAAATGAAAACTATTGTTGTTGATATTTTATGTAGCTGGTTTTGCCAAGTATGATGAATACAAACTTACCGGATACTTAAATGCGCAATTATGCAATTTATTTTTTATTTTTGTTAATTTTATTTATAGTGGCACTTTTGCACCCGTGTGAGGTTCATTTTTAAGAAGATGATTTTTGATCAATTAAAGGGAATATTTACCAATTCTTTGTTATTGATATTTAATTTAATCATTATTAGTGATGCAGGAATTGTAGTAAACAATATTTGGAAATTCGAAAATCCTTATTTTATGATGTTTAATTATTATAAATAATTTCGATTTTCGACACATCAGCACAAAAAGATTTTTTGCAATTTTTTGTAAGACTTCATTTTGAACAGAACTTTCTATAATGCTGCATAGGAACACCATCCATAGTTTCATGGATGACTTAGCATTGAAAATATCCTTTTAATTTGTCGAACCTCTTAACGGAATCCCTTTATGAAGAGCTTTGAGTGGGTTGGTTTATTTCCTTTAAATTCCGTTATAATTGCTTATCTTTTGACATATACGCGTATTTCGTCTACTACTTGCAGACTTCATCAGTGCCAAGTACTCAACACCACTGAAGAATCCATCTTTTATCTACGAGTTATATACTAATCAATAGGTACTAAAAATCAGCAGGTATCCACTGCCATGTCATGTATATAACTCGTAGATAAAAGATGGATTCTTCAGTGGTGTTGAGTACTTGGCACTGATGAAGTCTGCAAGTAGTAGACGAAATACGCGTACCTGTCAAAAGATAAGCAATTAAAACGGAATTTAAAGGAAATAAACCAACCCACTCAGAGCTCTTCATTGAAAATATGTTTATTTTCAAAATTATTGGGGGTGGCACTTTTGCCCCACCCGACGCTAATTTGGAACAAAACAAAAGCTGAACATTGAATAGAGTTGCTCAAGGTTTCATAGTAAAATGATGGATATAAAAATCCCCAAAAATCGAAATTATTACATTCAAAGTGTTTTTATGTTACTTCATACGCGAAGTTAACGATTTTCAGAGTTGGTTGGAAATGCCAACATGAAGCTTTAGTGTGATGATTTATTAGCTAGAGAATGATCTTTAGAAGAGGGTAGGTGGATAGTTCCGTTAGAGTACGGCAGTATGAAAATGGAATAGAAGTTGAAAATGAGCGAAGGGCCATTAATGCGACAGTTTTTGACCTGATCACAAGGGAAGTAAAGCCATTGGTCCCCGGTTTAGGAGTTGATGGTTTGATAGGTAGGGTCCAGGGGTCACATTGCGAATCTCGGAACGAAAGACTTTTTGTACGAACGCTTGTATGATAAAGTTTTTCGTTTCGAGATGCGCAATGTGGCCCCAGGTGTGGGAGCTGCCTCCCTGGCGTCGGTAGCATTTGGTGTTCAGAATGGAAAACAAACCAAGGAAAAAACGGGAAAATATCCAAAATTCAGGGAAAAAAGGGATGACATCGGGAAATTGCTGATCGAGATTTGCTGGTATTGAATTCGACATTTTCCAACTAATCGAGGGGCACGCAATTGCCTTTTTGACTGCGTTGGATTTATAGTACAAGGTGTTTGGTTGCAGACACTAAGCTGATTCAAACCAATTGTGTGCTTTTATTTGTATTATCGCCATCATATCAGGCATAACATTTGATAACGGCACAAAAGCATTTGTAAACAAACTTTCTAAGGCCCTTTACACGCGTACCAAAGTACGCCCACGCAAACCAATACCACTTGTGGAAAGGTGATAGTTGCCCTTATCCGATGATGCTGTTGGTTTGCGTGGGCGTACTTTGGTTTGCGTGTAAAGGGCATTAGAAAGTTTGTTTACAAATGCTTTTGTGCCATTATCAAATGTTATGCCTGATATGATCACATCCGTATTCAGAATTGACGCGATAGCACTTATGAAATTCGTTTCCCCATTATTCGTCTTTCCATGGGTCAACTAAACAATACTATGGGCAGAATTCCAAACCGATAGGAAACGATGAGTGCCATGTGCACAGGACACGAAATGATCGTTACCGATCAACTTGACACACTCAAGTTATCCGTGTTGGGAAGACAATTTCATACTAGCTGCGATTTTTTCCCGGAAGTAGCGAAGCGTGTGAATGTCCAAAGTATTCACCAGCTCCAGTGTCCGTTCAGCTCTTTTTCATAAACTACGTAGACAATTTAGGGGGGGGGGGGCTTGATAATTATGCACGGCCCATACAAATTAAAAAAAAATGTATGGACAATTGTCTACGCAGGGGGAGGGGGGGGGGGTCAATAATCAAAAAAAATGTCTACGTAGTTTATGAACAGCCCCTTTTTGGCCTCAAAAAAAAAACTTCTGATCCTGCGAAATAACTACCGCCTTCTGCGCCTTTCTCACCGTTCCCGCTTGACCAGGTACCACGTACAGAAATCGATCATCGCCAGTCAAAAACAAACACATCTGTGACAGATGCTTTCAAATACGATTGATTTCTATATTGCTGAAAAAAACATGCTTTTGAATTTAATTCAAAATACATATTTTAGTTTTCAACATGTTTTCAATTTACTTTTAATCATTCATATGTTTAGAGTATAAACAGTTTTATTTTTGATTTGAATGAACAAAATTCGTATCCGTGGAGAAATAAATAATATTGTTACATGCAAATTTTGTTAATAATCTAAGAAAAATCTGATTTTCTCGAATTTTTGATAATTTTTCCCATTATTAAAAAAAAACCGCGTCGAAAAAACTATATTTCCGGTGCGGTGAACTTCCCCTTAGCCATACATTTTGGGGTTAAATACAAAGAGGCAAAACGTGCTTTACATAATTTTCTATTGTAATTCTGTTTTCGTTCATATCCACCAAAATAAATTCGTTATTTCTTAGGTTGAACCAGTTAGCACAAACAAACATTCTTTTCATTGTCGCATTCTCCGGTGCTTTGACAGGGGTGTGATCCAGGGTATAGGTTTTTGCCCTGCCAACACCTCGGCAGTATTGAAATCCGACTACATCTCCAATCACGAACCGATCGTTGCATGTGAATTGGCACCAATCACCAACGTAGATTTCCTTGTGGGTCCCGGGAGATGTATGTTTATAGGGTCTATTCTGAAGTCATAACAGCGGTAGCGATACAATCTATCAGAGCTGACATTATCCTTAACGTAGCAAAAGAGCCTGTGAAATTTTATGTTTCACGGGCCAATAACGAAAGGGTCCAACGGTACGCTGGAGGAAATTTAAGTACATTTCTCGCTGTACTTAATTAAATTTAAGTACATTTGTCGCTGTACATTAATGGATTTAATGTACTTAATTTATGCGACTTGTAATTAAAATATTTCAGCTTACTTAAAAGTAATTAAATCGAAAAAATTCCGACGTTCGTAAATTAAAGTAATTAATCATGCAGTTAACTGTACTTATTGTACTTAAAAAAGGCTTGCGTAGGAGTTAAAGTTTATTGCGTGCCCCTCGCAACAAATCTAACTGGAAAACGTCACATCCCATCGATATAACGTCTGAGACAAAGTAGCACACTCAAAACAAAAAAAATCTCGCCAGAGTTACATGAAAATACCGGTAGCTTTCGTCCATCATTTTCTTCACGTAAGAACTACGTGATTCTATGGTAGATTTATCACCTCTTCATTGAATAAAGTGTACCATATTTACATATTCGTTTACAAACCATCTCGTAGTGCGATAATCAATCATAAGTCAGTCGCTTGTAAAATTCATAAGTGTCTTATGAAACCAATTTTTTCAAGTTCATAGATCATACCTTGTAGAATTCTTAAGTTTGGTTGCCCAAGTGTAGCCATTTTTTGGATTTTAAGTGTCGTGTATTACTTTGATTATTATTATAAAGTTGGTTAGGACTTATTCTAAAGACGTTTAGAGCCTCAGAAATTATCTCATTAGCATAAGTCAGATGTTCTCCCGCTATTTATACCCTTCTAAGAGTGATAGCACCCTCCAAAGGCGCGCCCTTTTCTCAGTCAAAATGAGATTGGTGATAGTAACCAGAAAGGTGGATTAATCAGGATTTTATTCTCTTTATTTCATAGATCGTTGATGTAAAAAAACGTTTCGATAGCACTGCCGTTGCGCATCAGTTACCTCCATGCCAGGACTTGAAGGCAAAGGTGGTGGAATGCTACAAGAAAAACCAGCACGAAACGTTGAACTGTTCGGCTGAAGTTAGAGCGTTCACGGACGGCGTCAATCTTCATCGTATTCAACTACTAAAAGAGAAAGCATCTGTCGCAAAGCCAGCGGCAGAGAAGTAATGAGTGGGAATAATGAAACCAACTGCTAAACTGAACTAGAGAGGTAATTTATGTTCTTTCGTTTGTACATAAAAGAGTAAAAATTATCGCAAACGGTTAAACCAAGCAGCAACCTTTATTCACCAATGTTTCTGATATAAATAAGATCTTAACAGATAGAAACTAAGCAGTCGGTTTATGCCCTCTAAAGCGGTACTAATTTTGGCCAGTTTTTCATTACTCTTCTCTGTGTCCTTCTTTTCCTCTTTCTTGTTCTCCAATGAATTGGCCAAGTCTTCATTACGCGAAAGAATTTCCTCTAATCTCTCCTCCAACTCTTGGAAGATATCGTATCCGACGATGCTCTTCTTCCCATCGTGTCCCCAGTAGACGTTTTTCTCGAAATCCTTGCGAGCACCATCTGTTTCATCCGAAAGCCCTGATTTCAATAGAGCCGTCTTATCCTTAATTTCTTGCTCCGGTTTCTTCTTCGCGACGGCATTGGCGGCATGCTCCAAGATTTCCTCCGGTGTTTTCGCCCTCTGCAGAACAGGGTTTCGTCTGATGATGGTAGTTTTGACCAGCGAGTTTGGGTCATCGACGGTTTCGTAGGTGTGCAATCTATTCAGTTGACTTTGTGCTTTTTGATTGCCATCATCACCACTTCCGTCGGCAGCTGTAGAGAAGCGCACACGTAACGATACTTTCGGAACAGTTTTCGGACAAACGTGTCTAGCCCGTCTAGCCAGGAAGAGAGCCATTTTGATGCGACCGGAATTTTGAAAGACGAAAAGGTGAATAATTTTCGGTAGGCTACTTCGATCAAAACTTAGGGGAGAACTAAAGAGGGTCTAGTATAAGAGAGGAGCGGACTGGCTGGTTTTGAGCCAGAGCCAATCGAGCAGTGCCTATCTTGATTGAAATTGACAGTGTTGCAAGAAACCACCCAAGGCAGTTTGTTTTTAATCCGCTCCTCTCTTATACTAGACCTTCTCTAGGGAGAACATTTTAATGCCGTGGATACACTTGTACGACATGCTATAAACATGAGCATTATTTGTATAATAAATTATGAGTACATCCAATAACTATACAAGTGTGACTATGGATATTGTTAGCGACGCGATCGATTTACACGTGCGAAGGAACGCTATCGCTGCTAACAATTTATTTTATTTGTCGTGTGAAGGAGTGCTCGACCGACGGTAAGTTGGAAACCTTGCTATTTTCAATTTTATTGAAATTCTCGCAGGACTCAAAGCTAGTTGTTCTAACCAGGGTGGGAGCCTATACTTATTGAGTGGAGAGAGTCTCAATCAATTGAAAATATAGTTTTTAGCTCAGAAATACCTTTGAGATTTTATGCCCAAGAGCCAGTACTCTAACTATTGTGAGAGCCTATTCTGCTTTGGGAATCTACAGTTTTTCTTGAACTAGAAACTTACCAAGGAGTTTTAATTTACGTAACAAATTCCCACCTCGCAACGCTTTCAAATTCAGGTTAAAAATATAAATGTGGACGTGTCTCTATACGCCCTTCTGACATGCGCTTATCTATCGTGCAGTGCATATCCTACAACTCTATTCTAAGCTATACCTGAGCGCGGCAGACATAGACCTAAATAAACAACTAGTCTTGTAATATTTCGTTCCACTTTCTTTGCAAAACGTTATCCTCATACCTGTTTTTACTTTACATTTTATATAAATTCAGAAATAAAGAAAATTTTGCGCGACCCTCTCACCCGTTGGGATGAAAAAGCAGTCATGCTTACCACCGGCGTCGGCTCTTGAATTTCAATGACAAATCTTAAAAAAGTATGCTTCATCACTTTTTGAAGAAAAAAAAATGGTTTTTTGGACCATTGTGTGAATTTCCTCCCGTTGGTCACTTTTAACACCTTGCTGAAGGTGCTAGGCCCTAATCTCATGTTGTATGCTTGCATGTGAGACTAAGAATTTGACTGGTAGTGAAAGCATCACATATATATATATTTATTGGGACGTTGGATGTGGATGAAAGATCGCTATGTAAACAGTTAAGAGGTTTTAAGCGAAAGTTGAACTTAAGTAGGATTTATAGCTTGAAAGTTGGCGCGGGTTTGACAAACCAATTGGAATCTTACAGCAGCAGTGATGTCATGGAATTTTTTTTTTTTTTTTTTAACTCTTTATTTGTTCCAAATTCAAAATAAACTACATTTCATTTTTAACCTAGGTGCTCCAGTTACTACAGTAACTTACCAGCCTTAATTGTTATGATATATATCTAAGTGTTTTTACATTGTTCCTGTCTTGGCAATTCAGTATTTTAAACAGGTTTTTTAAACCTGCATGTCAGTATAACAATTGATAGCTTAAAACTAAATAACTAAAACTAAATCTTATCTAAGTATAAAGGGAATTAATCGTTGCAATTGAGGATTGTAACGATTTTTGCCGGAAATTATTAATTATTTTGTTGGACATTTGTGCTAAAGTCTCAACATTCGAAATTCTATGTACTTCGGTTGTACTGTACCAGGGAGGCAACTTCAAAATCATTTTCAGAATTTTGTTCTGAATCCTTTGAAGTGCTTTTTTCCTGGTAGTGCAACAACTAGACCATATTGGCACAGCATAAAGCATGGCCGGTCTAAAAACTTGTTTAAATATTAGAAGTTTATTCGTCAGGCAAAGTTTGGATTTCCTGTTTATAAGAGGATACAAACATTTTATATATTTGTTACATTTGGCTTGAATGCCCTCAATGTGATCTTTAAAAGTTAATTTTTGGTCAAGAACTAATCCAAGATATTTCACTTGGTTTGACCAGGAAATTGGAACTCCGTTCATAGTGACTATGTGACTACTATTAGGTTTCAAAAAGGAAGCCCTGGGCTTATGTGGAAATATTATAAGTTGAGTTTTGGAAGCGTTGGGAGAAATCTTCCATTTTTGTAAATAAGAAGAGAAAATATCTAAACTTTTCTGAAGTCTGCTGCAAATAACACGAAGACTTCTTCCTTTAGCGGAAATGCCTGTGTCATCAGCGAACAAAGATTTGTGGCAACCCTGAGGCAAATCAGGGAGGTCCGAAGTGAAAATGTTATACAATATAGGCCCAAGAATGCTACCCTGAGGAACTCCTGCTCTAACAGGTAGTCGATTACATTTGGAATTTTGATAATTTACCTGCAGAGTTCTGTCAGTTAAATAATTTTGAACTAATTTCATAATGTAAAGTGGAAAATTAAACTTTTTCAATTTAGCAATCAAACCTTCATGCCAAACACTGTCGAATGCTTTTTCTATGTCTAGAAGAGCAACTCCAGTTGAGTGGCCTTCAGATTTGTTTGAACGAATTAAATTGGTAACTCTTAAGAGTTGATGAGTAGTTGAATGCCCATGGCGAAATCCAAACTGCTCATCTGCAAAAATTGAGTTCGTATTGATGTGAAGCATCATTCTATTCAAAATATTTTTTTCAAAAAGTTTACTTATTGAAGAAAGCAAACTTATTGGACGGTAGCTAGAAGCTTCAGCTGGATTTTTATCCGGCTTCAAAATTGGAACAACTTTTGCATTTTTCCATTTATCAGGAAAGTATGCCAAATGGAAACATCTGTTAAATAATTTTACCAAGAAAGACAAGGTACTCTCTGGGAGTTTTTTGATGAGGATATAGAAAATTCCATCATCACCTGGAGTTTTCATATTTTGAAATTTTTTAGTTATAGACCTTACTTCGTCCAAATCAGTCCCCCAGGAATCATCAAAAATATTTTCCCGAGAGAAAATATTCCGAAAATCCCGAGCAACCTGATTCTCAATAGGACTAGTAAGACCCAAACTGAAATTATGGGAACTCTCGAATTGCTTAGCAAGTTTCTGAGGTTTTTTTCAAATTTGTGATCAAAATTTTACCACCTTCTTTAAGCGCTGGAATTGGCTTTTGAGGTTTTTTCAAAATTTTTGTGAGTTTCCAAAAGGGTTTGGAACTCGGGTCTAATTTAGAAACATTATTTTCAAAAGTTTTGTTCCTCAGGGCAGAGAATCGCTTTTTAATTTGTTTTTGCAAATCCCGCCAGATAACTTTCATGGCAGGATCGCGTGTTCTTTGAAATTGTCTCCTACGGACATTTTTAAGACGGATCAAGAGCTGAAGATCATCGTCTATTATAATTGAATCGAATTTAACCTCGCATTTTGGTACTGAGGCAGCTCTTGCTTCAACTATAGAAGTAGTCAGAGATTCAAGAGCATAATTAATTTCATCTTTGGTTTGCAAAGGAATGTTTGGATCGAAGTTATATTCCATAAATGTTCGATATTGCTCCCAATCAGCCCTATGGTAATTGAAAGTAAAGCTGTTGGGATTAGAAATTATTTCTTGGGATATTTCAAGAGTTACTGGAAGGTGATCAGAACCGAAGTCAGCATGGGTAACCAATTGGCTACAAAGATGACATGAATCAGTTAAGACCAAATCAATAGTTGAGGGATTTCTTGCAGAAGAAAAGCATGTTGGGCTGTTTGGATATTGTAGTGTAATAACCTGCAGAACAATCATCAAACAGAATATTACCATTGGAATTGCTTTGAGCATTATTCCATGAGCGGTGTTTTGCATTAAAATCACCAATAATGAAGAATTTAGACCTATGACGGGTAAGTTTCTGAAGGTCACCCTTGAGAAAATTCTTTTGCTGGCCTACGCATTGGAATGGCAAATAGGCAGCTATAAACGTAAGTTGTCCAAATTTTGTTTCAACAGAAACTCCCAAAGTTTCAAAAACTTTGGTTTCAAATGAAGAAAGTATTTTGTGTTTGATTCGTCTATGAATAATGATGGCAACGCCACCACAGGGTCCATCAAGACGATCATTTCTATAAATTAAATAATTTGAGTCCTTCTTAACCTTATGGTCAGGTTTAAGGAACGTTTCAGTTATAACGGCAATATGCACGTTATGAACTCTCAAAAAATTAAATAGCTCGTCTTCATTATCTTTAAGAGATCGAGCATTCCAATTTAAAATGTTTAATGCTTTAAAATCCATTACTGAATTTTAAAGTCATGACAATATTATTAGCAAATTTTACTCCAGTTTGAATAGCATCAAACATGGAGTTAGATTTAAGCATATCAGAAATCATGTCAATTAATGAATTCTGTAAAAATTCCATTTTAGGAGCAGTAATGCTTCCTAAGTCAAAATTGTCAAAATTTCCGTTAGAACGTTGGTTAGTATTTTGATTTCTACCCGCTGCAATAGCAGCATAGGTAGCTCCATTAACTCGCTGAACATTGTTAGCAGCGAGGGGAGTAGGTACAGATGAAACATTTGAAGCAGGGGTGATATTTGTACCTACGGGTACGAATGTAGAATTTGTTCCTCGCTGACCGTTGTTAACAGCAGAGGAGTTTGTACCTGTTCGGAAACGTGGAGCGTTTCCTACCTGTCGGTTAGAACGAGATTGTAGGATCGCTTTGCGAGTCTTACATTCCCAAAAGTTGGATTTGTGGTTTTCACCACAATTTGAACATTTAAATTTCTTAGGATCTTCCTTCACAGGACAGTCGTCCTTTGCGTGAGAGGAATCACCACAATTCATGCATTTAGCTGGCATGTAGCAATTTTTAGTTCCGTGACCCCATCCCTGGCACTTACGGCACTGGGTGAGGTTTTGGAAATTTCCTCCAGTCTTCCTGAAGTGTTCCCACTTCACTCGGACATGGAGCATAAGGCTAGCTTTTTCTAAGGCCTTAAGGTTGTTTAGTTCACTAGACTTGAAGTGAACTAAATAAAAATCATTAGAAATCCCGTTGCGCGAATCGCCAGGACGGGATTTCATTTTCATTTTGATTACTTGGAGTGGCACAACTCCAAGTAATTTTGCCAGTTCATCTTTGATCTGATCCAGGGATTCACCACTGGGCAGTCCTTTCATGACAACCTTGAACACACGTTCAGTTTTGGTGTCGTAAGTAAAAAATTTGTGCTTCTTCTCAGTAAGATACTTGAGAAGACATTTAAATCCGTCCAAGGTTTCAGCCAATACACGGCATTCACCCCGACGTCCAATTTGTAGTGAAAACTTAACTTTCACGAAATTCAAAAGTTCCATGCGAAGAGCATGGAAGTCGGTAGTGGTTATCACAATAGGGGGAATCTTTTCCTTCTTGGCATTAAGCCGGGAAAGTTTACTAGAATTTTTCTTGGATGGTGGATCATTCTCATCATCCGTGAGCAAATCAAATTGATTACTCAAATTAATTTCACCAGAAGGGGGGTCAAGAGTTTGCCCCTTTCTTTTGCGTTTATGCGCCATGGCGGCAGTAAATTTTTATCCAAATCGACTTCCAAGCAGATTACTATAAGATTCTGAAGGATCGAAGAGGAATTTTCCAAATCGATATCCAAGAAGGATTACCTCGGGTAGGGTCCAAACAAGGATCGAAGAGGAATAAGAGGAGTTGAACAAGGTAGAAAATTTTTACAGGTTGAGCACTGAAAAGTGCTGTTTAAATTTGTTGTAGCTTTAGGTAGTAGTAACACTTCCTTAAGCAAAAAGCAAATAGATCCGCACGGCAAGAGAGCACGATGCGGACTGAAAGCATCACATATTTTGCTCTTTTATTCCTTTGCCACGTCGTAGTACGTTTATGTAAAGGTACTGACATCAGATGTGATACTGGCGGTTTTTTTTTTTACTTTAAATGATCTTTATTTCTGGTATTTGTGTGGTTTTACATGTATTGTGGCCATACTGAATATGGCATTCTCCTTGCGAACACGGAATTCTACTTCCTGTTCATTTGAGACCAGAGTGGTGGTCTGCTGACTATCACTAGTCCGTAGGTCACTCTTAGTCAATGGCTTTCTTTCTTCAAGAAGCGTTGGTTCTCCGACTTACGTCGGGACTCCCGTTGAAGTCAATCTTCTTCTTCTTATTCGCATATCAAGCTTATTGCATAGTGCATATTAGCTTATTGCGTGCTCTCAACTTAGTGTTCTATAAATGCACTTCCACAGTTATTAACTGAGAGCTTCCGATGCCAATACCAACGCATGAATTCGTATATTGTGTGGCAAGCACAATGATACTCTATTATGCCCAGGGAAGTCGAGAAAATTTCCAACCCGAAAGATTCCCTCGACCGGACCGGGAATCGAACCCGCCGCCTCCGGCTTGGCAATACCGTGCCTTTACTGACTAGGCTATGAGGCCCGTTGAAGTCAATGGTATAGCCGAGACTGAACCTTTATTTTCAGAACTCTTCAGGGTTTTATATGATTCAATTTACAATAGTGTAATGAGTGAAAATGAGATAGGATTACACAGAATGGATTGGGACAGAATGTTGTTGACAAATATTGTATTTTGGGTGTTTTCCCTTTCCGCGCTCATCGGTGCCATTGTTTTGGTTATTTCTAGATAGAGCTAGAATTAGGGCGTAACAGCTTTTGTAAACAATGACTTCTCTCGGTGATTTCTAGAAAATTAAGGCTTGCCCACGCAAATCAACACCACCATCGGATAGAGAATGCCTGCCTCTTCGTGTAAATTTGTTATTCTAGTGTCGAAAAGACGATCGAGGATCATCCTAAGCACTCTGTTTTGTGCCACCTGGACTTTGTTCCTGTGAGTTTGTTTATAGAATTCCGTTTTTGTTGCGTTGGTCTGTATAGTTGCTGATGAGGGTGGTTAGTTGTGAGATTCAGGTTCCGAGTGTGATCTGGTATGGTGGTGATGGTGAGCTAGGTGATCAGATAAGATCGAACAGCCCAGCTTCCCACAGGAAAGCTAGAAGGGCTGTAATTCTGGTAGGATCATTACCGAACGAAGAGCATCGCGGATGCTCTCGGGATGTCGTAGCGGGTTATTGGTGCTTCGTATTTCGGACAGTGGCAGATAATGTGATCCACCGTTTGTAGAATTCGGCATAGATCACAGATCCTATGACACGGTCCGTCTCCCTTGTAGTTGTGGGAGATGTTTGTATGATGTGTTCGAGAAATTATGACCGGCTCTCGATGTAACGGTGGATCCGCCCACTTGGAGGTGTCTCTTTTAATTTTTCTGATGGCAGGGGTTTCACTGGCCGCCCAATCGCGAGCCCAACCTTCGTTGGTGATTTTTGATACCCAATTTTTGGGGTTTCAGGTACCTACAATGTTTTGTCGAGCAGCGTTCTATTTTTTTGTGACGCAGAGAATGCGAGATTATTTTTTTCCTTGATTTGTTGTCCGTCAATCTAGTTTTCCGTGCTGAGCACCAATGCTACCGACGCCAGGGAGGCAGCTCCCACACCTGGACCCTTCCCGTCTGAAAGAAGGCGTGATCAGAGATGTTATATCTCAGAACATCCCGGCGCCGTCGACTGGGATTGAACCCAGGCTTACCACAGCACCATCGGCGCCGCTTGAGAATCCGAGATGTAGAGGAATAAATTCATTCGATTCATTGTAATGACCGGTATTTTGAGTCAATCTGAATAACATGTAATATTTTCGATTAATAATAGACAACCAACTTGTGTTTAAGCATATATTTATGGTTTCTCTCATAAACTGAAAATAATAATGTTTGAAGCTACCATGTCAGCATTAGTATGTCCACCTGAAAATATAAAATTATATTATGGATTTCTCTAAAGTACGGAATCGCTCAAAAAAGTGCGTTTCTACGTTGCGTTCGTCTTGGTGAAACAAAAAAATAAGTTTCGCCGAAAACACCAAAACGATTTAACGTAACAGCGCACATTTATAGTTTCATCGCATTTATGTGCGCAATACGATATACCTTGCACTAGCATATGATCGAAAGAGAAAAACTTACAGCTTCAAAACTTTGTCCTTGCCACCAGATGCGACCCTAGAACCGTCCGGTGCCCAGTCGACTCCAAACACTTCATCGGCATGACCGGGCAGCTCTTGAGCCAGTTTTCTTTCCTTCACGCTCCACACTTTCAGTGTAGAATCCTTACTTCCGCTCACGATAAGCCGGGAATCAGCTGACCATGCCACACTGTAGACAGCTTGCACGTGTCCACGGAATGCGCAAATGAATGCTCCATCACCGGCACGCCACAATCGAACGGATTTATCGAAAGACGCTGAAGCTATTAGCTTCACGTCCGGCGAATACTTTACATCGTTTACGACATTCTGATGACCGGTCATTCGCGTAATGAACTGTTTCTGGTTCGACTTCCATAGATACAGAGTGAAATCATCGGAGCATGAAACGAACGATTCAACGCCATCTGGGCAAACTTTTTCAAAGCGTTCTAGTGCCATGCTTTGCATATCTTTTTCTGAAAAACAAAAATACAATATTTAGTACAATATGTTACAGTAGGTATGTAATAATCACTGAGTAAAATGCTTACTGTCTGAAATAGAGTATGATTTACTTTTGTCTATAACGGGATGGAACGGACCGGTACGGAGAACATAGTCCGTATTCAGTGCTAGGTTATTGACCCAGTGGGCGTGTCCTGTGAATGTTTTACACAGGACTCCGTCCTCGGCACGCCACATCTTGATAGTGCGATCGCGTGATGACGTGTATAGTAAACCCGATCCACCCCAACGGACTGCGGTTACCGGAGCGGTATGGCCAGCTACGGTCTTTATGCACGTTCCCAACACGACGTCCCAGATTCTCACATCGTTATCATTTCCCGCGCTAGCCAAATACCGGCATTCGGTATTCTTATGAAACGGCTCCCAACTCATGCAACTTATCCACTTTTTGTGACCAACCAGTGGACGTCCGAGCAATTTACCGGAATCAGGGCACCAAACGCGGATTTCTCCGGCTTTGTCCGCAGAAGCGACCTTCAATGAATCGGGCGACCATGCTACACTAAGAACCCAGTTTTTATGACCTGTACAGGTGTAGTGGGGTGTCTCCGTGGTCAAATCCCACAATCTAAGTGTCGTGTCTCCAGATCCACTTGCTAAATGCAAGCTGTTGGGGCTGAAGGCGAGCGATACTATTGCCTCGGCATGCCCTGGCATTGAACTGGTACAGCGGGTCACCGGCCGTACACGGAAAACGGCTTGTGGTTGGTATACAATGTCCAGTACATTCTCAACGTCCAACTGCTTAGAACCGAGCGTTTCCTGCACTGAATCTCGGACTTCGTCATCGTTAATGAAGAACAAATACGGCGTTGGTTCTTCCTGAGAAAAGAATGGAGTTTAGTGTGAATCTAATTATGGTAAAACCGATGCTTACATTTTTCTGGAGCGCATTCAATATCAATTCTAGCTGTTGTTTGGTCACATTGACCGGTAGGTCCAGTGGTGGCCCCGCTTCGACTCCAACATCCGATACAAACCGCGCTTGGACGGTATGCGTTTGTGGCGTTCCTTCCTCGCCGTCTATATCCATGTCCAACTCTTGGAACACTCACAGAATCAAAGAATGGTAGCAGTTTCACGCGCAACCGACAGTAAACAATAACACGTGTAGTTCGAACGAAATGAATCCGATTTTGATTTGACATGCTACGAGGGGCCACAGGATTTCTAATAGATACCACTCTGCGATGTTTTTTTTTGTGTGCAACTCGTAGTCAGTATCTGTTTCCAAATCGCCCAATACTATAAATGTCACAACAATGGTTCCCCGCAAAAACTAAACAAATGGGTCGAAATTCTTTGTCTGTTTTTGTATAAACATTACATTGCGGCCAACATTTTCTAAGCATTGCGATGGCCTCTTGGACGTCGGGGCAAGTTTGCCGCTTCTGCGGAGAGCAAAACGATGTGATTGTTGACCTAATAGGAACTGGGTTGTGTGAAAAGCTGGTGCGGTTCTTTCCGCTGAAGGTAAGTGTACAATCAGTAGACAAACACTGTTTTACGTTATTAATTTCTTCAATATCCATCACTGAATATATTTATTTATTTAGTTTGATACTGCCGATCTCCTTCCGAAGATGGCTTGTACGGAATGCGCCAGCATAATTCAGAAGATGGAGGGATTTGTTCTTAAAGCACAGGAAGTGGAGCATAATTTACTAGAGCGCTCAAATCGTTCGGTAAGCAATGTGATATCCCCTTTGGAAATACGGTCTCTGGTTAGTTCGATAAGTGCAACAAAAACCAAACCTCATCCCGCCTCCGTTAACGAAGTTCTTCGTAAGCTCAACACTTCATCCATAGTAATCAAGAAGATAGACAAAAAGAAACCAATTGAAATCGAACAACCAGCTAAAACCAAACGAATAGATGATGAGGAACCGCTTTTGAAGATGAAGGTTGAAGTATTGGACGAAGAAGTAGAGCATCTACCCGCTGAAGATTTCATTCACTACGATGATACTGATGATGATGAAGAAGGGGAAGTCCTTGCTCGGCATAGCTTCCAGAGCATTGAGTCTGTCAATATTAAGGAAATGCACTCGACCGACGAAAGCAGTCAAGAGGCTTTTCCCGAAGAAAGATTGGAGATTGAAATCAACCCGGAATACATGCAGAACGATCAGGTGGTAAGACAATTTATCAACCAGTTTTTTTTTCGATTTCTTAATAGCAACACATTACAGGTAGATAGCGAACCACGCCGGTTGAGGTCACCAGCGAAACTTAAGCCAAAACCCCGTTTATCCAATTCCAAAAATGTTGTCATCAATCTAACGGATCCTTGTCATTACGTATGCGTAACGTGCAAAGGAAAATTCAAAAGCTTTGAAGAGCTACAGACTCATATCGATCAGAACATTTCCTGCAAGAAAGTCAACAGTACTTGTGAGCAATGCGGGAAGGTGTGCGACAGCCGTCGAGCGTTGTATCAACACAGGCAGACACACAATCCCAAGCCGCAGTTGATTTGCGACCAATGCGGTAAGGTCTACACCAATTCGTTCAACTTAGAAAATCACAAAAGCCAAGTTCACGGTGAAGAGATTGAAGAACTTGGCTACGTTTACAAATGCTGCGAGCAAACTTTCCCAACTCGTCGGGAACTTAATGACCATATTGCTACACACAGCAAACTACTCAACCTTTTATGCGACACCTGTGGCAAATCGTTTACTTCACATAAAGCACTTCGGTCTCACAATATGAGCCATCTTAATATTAGACCTTTTTCATGCGATTTGTGTGACAAATCGTTCCGAACTAAATTGTTGCTAGTGCAACATTCGCATGTCCATACCGGAATCAAGGTGTGTTATTTTATAATTGCATAATATGTATTACTGTTTTCGATAATGTTTACTTTTGTCCTATCAGGCCTTCAACTGCGACATGTGTGAGAAGTCCTTTGCTAAAAAGGAATCGCTTAAGAGGCACTACAAACTTCACTCAAGTGAACCTGTTTCCTGGTCGTCCACGGGTGAGAAAATCTCGGTCAAGCCTTTGGAACAACTACAACAGGCGCATCATGAACAACCGCAGTCATATGTTGAGTATGAAGAGCTACAACACGTCTGAAGCTTCAAAAGGCAAGCGATTTATTTCCATTTTTATACGTTGATTGTCGATCTAATAGACAAGAAACCACACTGGATGTCAGTGATGTGCTTTGTAAAATGAACAATCGAAACAATCAGCTGTTGTTCTTCGCTTGGGATGACATCCTTGATATGTATTGGGATATACTCCAGCATTTTACGTGACTTTTGTTCTATTCAAACGATCTCACTCACGCGCTCTAGAATTTTGAGCACCTATACAGTTGTGCATTAGAACACCAATGAAAAAATAATAAGCCGACCATATACAAAATGTTCATTGCTTCGAAAAAAAGACACTATGCAAAATTTGGGCTCAGTTGGACATGAGTTGGGGTGGCGCAAAATCAATAAAGAAAAATCTCCCAAGGTGGATACATGAAAATTCGGAAATCGATATTTTTAATGCCAATGAGAATCCCTCTTTTAGGGCTTTTTCATTACTTTTTATTATAGAATGTTAATGTAAAATCCAGTTGAGTTTTCAGGTGACACGGTCGAAAGGCAGATTTTTTTTTCTTCTTTATTAGAGTGACTGCCAATGGCTGGTTCCCCACTAAAAGGTAGATAAACATTAGGCAGCATTGCTCGGCTAAAAGTCTATCTTATAAAGGAAAAAAAATAGGCAGCATGTTTGTAAGGCCGAATTTCAAAAGGCAAACAAAAATCTAAACTCAGAATTTCCAAAGGGAGTATTGATATAAAATAATTACGTTTATCAAAGGCCAAAAACGCCACGTGCTGGGCCAGTGGACCATTGCTAGCGTAACGCGTGAAGGTCCACTTGCTCTGTGCGTGCTCTTTTCGGCTTTTTGGAATTCGGCCTTTTCAAAAATTCTGCCTTCCCGATTTATTTATTTTCGAAAATCAACTTTCTGGGACTTTTTTGGAAATCAAATTTGTTTTTGATGTCAAATGATTTAACAATGCATCACGTCGTGATCTAGTGTTATCTGTAAAAAAAATGTCATTCGTTAAAAATTGACTTCTTGGAATTTGTAATTTTTTTTTGGTGAAACATAAGATGTATCAAGTACCTACCTAAAACGGAATTGATATTTCAAGCTTATAAAACGTGGCAGGTTGGGCATGTGGATGCTGGAAGAACGACAAGTGAAGATAGTATTCAGCAGAGAAAACGAAAGAGATGGTCAAATTTGCAAGTGTGTTTGAAGACGAGCAACTCTCCGCTAATCTCATTACTTCCGCGGCCAGTAATGTTCCTTTGGTCAACCAAACGATCAGCATGGTCGAAGCCACTACAGATACGATTTCTAGAGCAGCATCTAAACTTAAGACTTCAGCTAAGGTTGGACCCGATGGTGTTCCGTCGATTATTCTTAAAAAGAACATCAATTGTCTTTTAGAACCACTGCGCCGCATATTCCAGCTCTCTCTTTCCAGCGGCATCTTTCCGTCTTGCTGGAAGACTGCGGATATGTTTCCTGTTCATAAAAAGGGAAGCAAACGCGACGTAAACAACTACCGGGGAATCACGTCGCTGAGTGCTGTATCAAAACTCTAACGTTTTACATCACAGACAGTTTGATTGCTCGGACCCAAACGGACGTTATCTACACAGATCTTACGGCAGCCTTCGATAAGCTGAACCACGAAATTGCGATCGCTAAGCTTGATAGGGCTAGGGATCGGTGGAAATCTTTTGAGATGGTTTCGTTCATACCTCACGGAGCGCCAATTGACAGTAACTTTGGGTACTTGTAGCTCAGCAAGCTTCTGCGCAAAGTCCGGTATACCCCAGGGTAGCCATCTGGGGCCATTGATATTTCTCCTTTACTTCGACGACGTTCACCATGTTATCACAGGGCCACGATTATCGTTTGCAGACGATCTGAACGTTTTTCTGCGCCTCCACTCACTCGCCGACTGCCGTTCTCTCCAAAATCAGATTGACATCTTTGCTGACTGGTGTAGTCTAAACCGACTGGCGGTCAACCCAGCTAAGTGTACAGTTATTACTTTCTCACGCAAGAAACAACCGATTATTTTCAACTACAAACTACTAGGCACGACTATCGAACGGGTGCATTGCGTGAAAGACTTTCTAGACTCAACGCTGACATACTCACACCATATATCGTAGGTCGTCGACAAAGCGTCCAGAACTCTTGGCTTTGTCTTCAAGATTACTAAGAACTTCACAGACATTTACTGCTTGAAATCGCTCTATTGCTCTCTCGTACGATCTACGTTGGATGGAATACTGCTCCGCAGTCTGGAGCCCGAACTACAATAATGGGGCCGAGCGAATTGAATCTGTGCAACGACGTTTCCTTCGCTTCGCGCTCCGTAAGCTGCCTTGGAGATACCCACTTCGTCTTCCAAGCTACGAGAATCGCTGTCAATTGATCAATGTCGAGCCCTTAGGTATCCGAAGAGATGTTTTAGAGCCTTAACCGTCGCCGATACTCTACAAGGAAGAATCGACTGCGAAGCAATTCTACAACAAGTGAACATTAATGTTCAACCTCGATCACTACGCAACAGTCTTATGCTGAGACTTCCACTTCTTCGAACTAATTATAGCTTAGGGAGCGCTATTTACGACTTTCAGCGAGTGTTCAACCGTTAGCGTCGACGTTCGATTTCCACTTAACACGGAATATGCTTTGCCGAAGATTCTCTGCCATTTTTGCTGACCGAAGGCGCTTGACGCCCAACAGCTAAAAGTAAATTTTAGGACTTATACATTTTTAGTAACTTGACACTGCTTTCCTAGTTATTTTCGTTTGTAACTGTAGTATATGTAGTCATACAGACTTTTTTTACAACACATCATTGGGACTATTTCTAGTCTGTTGATGCAAACATAACAAATAAACAAATCGGGAGTAGACATTGCACTCCTTGGATTTTTACAGTTGAGGACGACATCAAGCCGCTAGCTGCTTAGAAGTGATTGACTCAGGACCGAACCAGCGGAAAATAAATCGACGAAAAATAAATGAAATATATCTTTCAAAATTGTTGTGCAACACTACAGTGCATTTATTCATGTGATGTTTGGTGAATTCTTGTGTAAATACCTAAATAACTTTCTGAATGATTTAATAGCACTGCTTTTTGGAGAGTATCGAAATACTTATTTAATATCCTTGTTAATATTTCTATTCAAAATATAGGTAGTAATTTAAATAATGCATATGGAAATGCGGTGCGGTAATGATTGATTATTTCGACGACAGTCGCTGATAAATTTTGATTGTTCTCGTTTTATTTGTCCTTTTCCTCTTTAATTTCTTCGATGGTCGCTGTTGGCTTGTCTGGGTTCAATTCATATATTTTATAATTGAGCAACGTTGCAAACGAGCACCATGCCAGATATGGAACGAAAAGATAACCGGCTATCTTATTCACATTGAAGAAGGCAAATCCTGTAGCAGCAACTGCAGCGGTCAAGGTCGCACACTCTACGAAGCTCTGTTAAAATATAGATTCAGATATTGATTTTAAATACTTAACATGTAACAATGAATCATGTTACCCATTTCAGCTCATGTTTCTTGAAGAATATCGGTGTCCAAGCCCAATTCAATGCTAGTTGTGCTCCGTATAGAATGAGTGGTCCTTGTGCAATTCCTCTAAAACCTCCACCATCTCTCCATACCAGATATGAGGCATAACCCATTCCGGCGTATAGTGAAGTCCATACCGGACCAAAGATCCAGCTTGGAGGTTTGAAGGAAGGGAAATTAAGCGTGGTGTACCAGGTTTTTGTCTCCTGTCGTGTTAGATATCCATTTATCCATCCTCCAATTTGTGGGAGAACGATTGCTGCGGCAATTTTTGGAATTTCACTGCTCATGTTCTTCCTGTTACTCTCAAGTAGAAATAATTATAAACGTCTCGATGTCCGAAACCGACTGAGTACCTAATTGATGTTTGTTTTGGTGACTCGATGTTTAATTTCACAACATTTTTGTAAGTATTGCTTTTTGATGATTAGTGTGTACTAAAGCCCTACAGTAAAAGTATGGACGTCTGTCAAAAGTTGTTCCAATCGAACCGTCAAAATGCACCCCCTAATAAAAATTGTATGGTTAATTTGCTTAACGACGTGTTCTGGGTATCATCCAAACCATTTGTGGAATAGTTCAATGATTTGGGTTATCGTTCGTTTATGGTTATTTTTTATTAGGGCCGCTTTGCTCGATTGGAACAGCTTTTTTCAGTTTTGTGGTGACAGTCGTCCATACTTTTACTGTAGGGCTTTAGTGTGTATGGGTTTGAAAATGTTTGTAGTGTCATGTCAGGTGTCACTGCCTATATACAGCCATATACACATTTATTTGAGATAGGGGTAAATGGTACAAAACGCTTGATTGTTATTTATGAAGGTTGTGATCAAATTTGCATTATTACATTGAAGTGTTTGTTAAACTAATATATGTTAACATAAGAAAGAAACATGATACATAATTTTGTAGATATTTAACAGTAAAAAGCTATAATATTCTTCGGCCATTCTCAAACATTCTTCAATTGCGATTCACTTTTATACACTCCACAAACTCGCAGTTCACTAAGGGGCGATCCATTTATTGTCACGCTAAATTGTTTCTTATGGAATTCTTACGTTCTTTTCCCGCATAAGCGCGAACCATAAATTGACCTTACCTAAAATGGTTATAAATTGTTTATAATCCCTGCTAAACTTCAACTGAAATGGTTATGGAACTTTACATGAACGTTTAATGATAAAGTTTTAACCTTAAGTATTATAGTTTTTTGGAAGTGGACCTTACAAATAATGGGTTGTTAAGAACCATTACCATACAAAATTCTTGTTTTCTCCATACATTTTCGGAAAGAAAACTATACTAAAACCTTTTAACTTATGGTTTGAGAACATTAATGGTAATGGTTATGGTAACCAGTAAGGTCCATGAATGGTTTTGTAACATCGATCAACTTTATGTGGAATATATCGCGAATTGGTTGCCTGCAAATTACTGATTACCAATTCACGATATATTTCACGTAAAGTTGAGCGATAATACAAAACCATTAATGGACCTTACTGACTACCATAACCATTACCATTAATGTTCTCAAACCATAAGTAAAAACGTTCTAATATAGTTCTCTTTCCGATAATGTATGGAGAAAACAAGAATTTGGAATGGTAATGGTTCTTAACAACCTATTATTTGTAAGGTTCGCTTCCAAAAAACCATAATACATAAGGTTAAAACTTTATCACACAAACGTTCATGTAAAGTTCCATAACCATTTCAGTTGAAGTTTAGCAGGGATTATAAACAATTTATAACCATTATCGGTAAGGTCATGTGATGGTTCGCGTTTATGCGGGTTGCCTGTAGGAGTTAAGTCCCTGTCTAACATTATTATAGACATATCAGTTAACGGAAGACCGTTGACCAGAATTTATTGATACATTGGAAATTATGTTCCTACTTATAATCGCATATCGGTCTCATATGAAATAACGGGTGTTCAATAAAAAATGAGAATGATTTCAGTGCCGTTCAGCGCTCTTGTGACAGCATCGCGACTAAGTTGCGTCGTACGGCTGACCAGGGCCCTCGCCAATATACGTTTTTTTGAAGAAGAAACATTATGTTTTTAATTAAAAATACTGAATTCGTTGAATTTTTTTTTTACTGGCTATATCAGGCATAACATTTGATAACGGCACAAAAGCATTTGTAAACAAACTTTCTAAGGCCCTTTACACGAAAACCAAAGTACGCCTACGCAAACCAGCAACATCATCGGATAGGGGAAACTATCACCTTTCCGAAAGTGGTATTGGTTTGCGTGGGCGTACTTTGGTTCGCGTGTAAAGGGCCTTAGAAAGTTTGTTTACAAATGCTTTTGTGCCGTAATCAAATGTTATGTCTGATATGACTGAAAAAATTCTCATTTTTTATTGAACACCCGTTAGTACACTAATAAAATTTCAAAGATTGTTTTTATGTGTCCCACACATGAATTTTTGCAATGTGATCCACAAATGATACCTATGTGTCGGACAAATACTTAATTTGTGTACACATAAAAGTCATCTGTAACCACACATTCTATTCATTTGCCTCATAAATTTTGTGTGTGCTTCTGGGTGGATTCTGTTTATGTGTGGTCAGATGAAAATCATGTGAAATTTCACATGGAAATTTGTCAATAAAAATGTGTGTAATTGTATTGTATTAGGAGACAACTGGCTTCTTACACGGCCAATCTCACCAACTCAGCGACTGAGAATAATTGACTCAGAGAATTTTCTTTCCATACGAAATTTACTCAGATTTGGAAGAAACTGCAGTTACTCATAAGCTATGAGTAACTGCAGTTTCTTCCAAATATGAGTAAATTTCGTATGGAAAGAAAATTCTCTGAGTCAATTATTCTCAGTCGCTGAGTTGGTATGATTGGCCGTGTACTCTTTTATCTCTATCTCTATCTATATCCACAGACAAACAGACATAACACATTGAATATTTATCACTGTAAAACATCGTCGCTAAAACATTACCGCCATCTATTGAATACACTGTGGTGGGTAGTACGCTGAACAGATGGCGGCAGGCAATTGACTATGCGCGCCACAGGTGGCGGTATTACCAACTACGATACTTTTAAATTGACCGTTAAATGCTTGTTAGATGAACAACTTGCGAGTGTTATGTCTGTTTGTCTGTGCTATATCTATCTTTACCTATATCTATCTCTGTCTATATCTATTTCTATCTATATCTATCTCTATCTCTATCTATATCTATTTCTATCTCTATCTTACGCACTTCAAATCGGCCAATCACGAGCTGGTTCGCGTTTGACATAAAAGTGGTTCGTTTTCGCCCCCGTATTGTCTCCTCTTCCTCTTAGGGCGCAATCGAAACAGTTTTCATTCGATTATAGGAGGATGTTTTGGTTCAGTGTATGTTTACGATTGTTGACGTTTCCATAATCACAACACAACACCCATCCCCATTCTGCAGCACAGCCAGCACCACACAGCACATCCGCTTTATATAATCGTTGTTTTGAACATTGCGGAACGATGTCCGTAGTTACTTTATTTGCTAGATTTGCCACATCCGGCCATAATTTAGCCGGTTTTGGGGTAAGAAGATCTTCAATATAGTGTACCGTATTTTGAATTTATGTACGACATTTTGTTTTTAGTTTCAACAAGTACGCAACAAATGGACCGATTGGCGAATGATCAAGGATGCCAAACGCCGCAAGTGTGTGGTTGAGCACGCCAAGGACCGTCTACGTGTTAATTCGCTGCGAAAGAATACGATCCTTCCGGTTGAGTTGCGTGAAGTGGCCAGTGCTGAGATCCATGCCTTTCCTCGGGACACATCGCTGGTTCGAGTTAGGGAACGGTGTGCAGTCACGTCGAGATCCCGAGGCATCGTGCATCGCTGGCGAGTGAGTCGAATTGTTTGGAGGCATCTGGCAGACTACAATAAACTATCCGGTGTTCAGAGAGCTATGTGGTAATAGAATGGAATCATGATGTGAAACATTTGGGAAATCGTTTGCTTTGTGTAGGATTCTTCGAAAAGTCAAAGTACCTATATTGCATTTTTCTTGACCGAAAATTACGGTGGTGTTGTTACCGAATAATCATTGGCGTAGCTAATAGGGATGCCTTGCAGGTGCTTTATACAATTGGTAAAATTTATTTTCGATGTAGAGGTGGATTAGAGATATAGGTGCCTATCTATTCAAATAGTAAATTCGGGCTTTCTGAAAAAAAAAAAACAATACAAATTGATTTCTTCAAGTGTCTTTATTCTATAAACCCTCTTCAATTTACATTGCCTTATATAACCAACAACTTACAAGAATCTAAAGCTAGCCGCACAAGTATGTAAACTTATTGTTTGTCCTGTTTCTTCTTGTAATCCTCGAGTGCTGCCTTGATGGCATCCTCAGCCAACATCGAGCAATGAAGTTTTACCGGCGGTAGCGACAGTTCCTTAGCAATGTCCGTGTTCTTGAGTTTCTTGGCTTCATCCAAAGTTTTACCTTTTACCCATTCGGTGGCCAGCGAGCTCGAAGCGATGGCCGAACCACATCCAAACGTTTTGAACTTGGCATCGATGATTTTGCCATCCTCATCGACCTTGATTTGCAGCTTCATGACGTCACCGCAAGCCGGAGCGCCGACCAATCCCGTTCCGACGGTTTTATCCTTCTTGTCCATCGAACCGACATTGCGGGGATTCTCGTAGTGATCCAAAACATTAGCGTGATACAGAGCCAGCGGTACACTCTGGGTACGGCGAAGTACAAGTAAAGAGGCAAAACTTTTCTGCAACGCTGCCATTGTTATTGTTTTGTAATGAGCAGTGCGTTGTACAGTACAGAATTTCACAATCAACCTTTTTCTTCTAGCTGCGCAGTAACTGCTAGAACTGTTATCTGTTCCAAGCTGTTGTAGGATGTACACTTCACTCGCGAATGGCTAGCATCAGACAACAGACAGCTGGCTGGATCAGCGGACTTGACACATTCATTTGAATCGAGGGGCTTCTTATCTCTAGTGACATTGTTTTTAGTAATCGATCGCGTCCTACGATTCGAAATTTCGTCGCGAAAAACATCGCATGTCAAAGTGTGGAAACAAACTCACGTGCATTTCGAATGTAAATAATCTGTGCGGTGATCAGTGTTCTGTTGTGTGGAAAGAATATTTACAATAATTTAGTGATTCTTTCTATGTACAAATGTCGCGAATAATAATAAAGAACATCCCCAATGGGGTAAGTATCACAAAATGCCAAAATTCTACACAATAATGTACTTATTAAAACGATTGACTGCAGTTTACAGAATCCAAGCTACGGGACCATTTCAGCGGGTGCGGAATCGTAACGGATATACAACTGAAATACACTCCGGAGGGCAAGTTCAGAAACTTTGGTTTCATTGGCTACGAGACGGAAGAGCAGGCATCGAAAGCCATTGATCATTTTAATAACACGTTTTTGAGGACTTCAAAGATCAGCGTGGCCCCATGCGCCGCATTGAACGACGTAAAAGATTTGAATGTTTGGAGTAAATATAGCAAGAAGAAGCAGGATGCATCTGATGAGCTCAAGCAACCGAAAGCGGTGAAAGAGAAACAGAAAAAAGAAACTGCTGCAGATATTCTGAAGAAGCACAAAAATGATCCACTGTTCAAGGAGTTTATGCTAGCGCAGAACAAGGCTGGAACGGCTGTATGGGACAATCAGTTGCAAAAGTCTGAGAGTGAAGCTTCGGGCAGTGAAGAAGACGATGAACCGGAAGCGGAAAAGCCAGTCACTCGAAAAGAAACGGTCGTTGAGAAAGATAAGGAACGTAAAATGATTAATTTGTTTGTGGCCAAAATACACAATATTCCTTCAAAAATCAAACGGCAAGACTTGCTTCGATTCTTCAAACCCGTGAAACCGTACTCCATACGGATACCACCGAAACAGAATGGATTTGCCTATATAGGTTTCAAAACTGAAGCCGAGCTGAATAAGGCGATGTTGAAGGATAAAAGTTTCCTAGGTGGAAAGCAAGTCAAAGTTGTGGATTTTACCGCTAAAGATCGGCTCAGGACCGAGGAGGAAAAAAATCAGCTAAACAAAAAGGAAAATCCTAAGTGGATCAGACAAAAGGAATCGGTTTGTAGCGAGAGCATTGTAGAAACCGGAAAATTGTTCTTTAGGAACCTTGCCTATTCGGTCAAAGAGGAAGATTTGAAGCAGCTGTTTGAAAAATATGGACCTGTTGTAGACATTGATATACCAATCGATTCAAACACACGGAAGCTGAAGGTATACTAGTTATCAGTTCTTGTGTGTTCTGTAGCGTAAATTAAATTTTAAAATATATTTCTAGGGCTTCGGCACGGTTACATTCCTGATGCCGGAGCACGCCGTCCAGGCGTACAGTGATTTGAATGGTACTTTTTTCCATGGACGAATGTTCCACCTGCTGCCAGGCAAGGCCGACGCAGAGAAAGAAGAACCTGACGAAGATGAATCCAGTCTGAACTACAAACAGAAAAAAGAGAAGAAATTGAAGAAAACTGCACAATCTTCCCATAACTGGAATACGCTGTTCATGGGTGAAAATGCAATCGCTGAAGCCGTTGCCAAAAAATACGGAAAGTCAAAGGAAGAAGTGTTGAGCACCGAAGGAGGAACAACCAGTGCTGCGGTTCGGTTGGCTTTGGGTGAAACGGAAATCGTTGGTGAAATGGGTCGGTTTTTGGAGGAAAATGGCATTCATCTCGATGCATTCAATGGGATTCCAAAAAATAGATCCAATACGACGATTCTCGCTAAAAATTTGCCTTCCGGGACCGAAGTAAGCGAATTGACGGAGCGTTTCGGTAAATTTGGACTCCTGGGAAAGGTAGTTCTTCCTCCAAGTGGAATAACAGGTATATAATCAGCGACATCTCTATCTTCTTACCGAAAAATTTGGTCCCTAACCTTTTTTCTTTTCAATCCTAGCGGTTATCGAATTTTCGGATCCCAGTGAGGCTAAAAAGGCATTCAAGAAGTTGGCATACTCGCGTTTTAAGTCGCTACCGCTTTATCTCGAGTGGGCTCCCGAAAATATTTTTGCGAAGTCAGAGAAGGAAATACCGGTAAATGAATCGGATGATGCCGCCGACAATGCCAATCCTAAAGAGACCAAAACGACCACAACAAAAGTCAAAGAAAAACAGACTCACCCGACGGAAAATGTGGACGAAAAAGTAACGCCCAAACCGGATGAATATTCCGATCTTTCACCGGAAGATGGCACAACACTATTTCTTAAAAATCTTAGTTTCCAAACCAATGAGGATTCTATCCGCGAGACATTCAAAAACATTGGCCCTATTCACTCGGTGCAGATTGTGCGTCGAAAGGATGGCGATAAAAACGAGAGTCGAGGATATGGATTTATACAGTTCAAATTACGGAAGTCGGCTGATACGGCTTTGAAAAATTTGCATTCAGTTCACATTGATGGACGGAAGGTAGAGCTTTCTCGTAGCGATAGAACCTTGAACATCGATGTCGGTACGAGTGCAAGAAAGGAGGCCAAACTGAAAAAGCAGACTGGTACTAAAATTCTCGTTAGAAACGTCCCGTTCCAGGCGAATGCCAAAGAAATTCGCGATTTGTTCAAGTACTAGCCAATCATAAATTGAATGATGTCACACTGAAATTTTCCTCAACATTTTTATTCATTTCAGGGTATTTGGAGAGCTCAAATCCGTGCGATTACCGCGCAAAATGGTATCCGGTGCGGATGAAAGTCATCGAGGTTTTTGTTTTGTGGATTTCGTTACGGAGAGCGACGCCAAACAGGCCTTCGAAGCGCTGTGTAAAAGCACCCATTTGTATGGTCGCAGACTGGTGTTGGAGTGGGCCGAGGCAGAGGATGGAGTTGAAGAATTGCGCAAACGCACGGCAGAGAAGTTTTCCGGGATCAGAGGATCCGATGATGCGAAGAGAAGTCGTAAAGGTGTTTTCGATTCATCCCACATCGGAACAACCGATCCAGGTCGGGGAGAGGAAATGGATGACGAAGATGATGGAGACGATGGATTCTAAACGTTTCTTTTACAACGTGTTAATAAAGGTGTACTAGGTACATCTTAATCAATTTTGATTGTTTTTAATTGACGGGGTCAGAAGAAAAGGGGTGCAAGTGACAATCAGAAATGGCCACTACTATATGAACCGTTACGAGCGAAAATGGTGCATATCCACTAGAGTAAAATATACAGGATACACTCCTATTCAAAATACACTAAAAATAAAATCAATTCTGATGAATGTGGGCGTCTTAGTGGAATACCTGTATAATGAGAGAGAGAAGGATTGTGGAATTAAATGGAAAATACTAATCCTTCTCTCTCTCATTAAAATCAATTCATCAAATTGCTCTAACTGTGTGTTACAGAGGAGTTAAATAAATGTAATCATACAAAAAATAACGCAATTTAACTGAAAAATGTTGAACAAAATTCACCGTTCAAGAAATTTCCAGTACGGGATATCTCGTGAACTTGGCAAAATTATGATTATTCAATTTTATTCATCTGACTATTGTCTACATGAAAACTGCTCTTAATAGTTTTGAATTCGTACCACCTACGATATTGTGCAACTTGTTCGATGCTTATGCTTACTATTGTCTACATGAAAACAAGCCTAAAACTAAACAATTCAAGTGTTTCTAATCCTTGCCAAAAAGTGTGAAGATTTCTTCCCCAGATTGGAATAATTTCTGGACAGCCATAAACGTACGCATCATAGAAGTTAGTGTTTCGTTGTAACCGAACGCCGTCCGATGATATCGTTGTTGGAGAAGGTTTGACCGTAGACAACATATCAAGAAGACTGGCTACTCTCCCATTTTCTCATACATGGTATGAGACATGCACAATCGCGTCATCTACCGCTCAAAGGTAAATGCTTCGAACGAATTGGATAGCAAAGGTTCCATCCTCAGAAGAAAGGTTTGTGTATTTGCTCATTTTTCTATGTGGCGCTTCCACCTTCACTCGAGCGCAGCGCTATTGTGTCTGTCGCTTGGATTCAGGCAATGTTGCCAGTCTTCTTGATATGTTGTCTTCGGTTAGACTAGCAATTGAAATAGGCGGAACAACCAAATGTAAACAATGGCTCTAAATTTAAAAATCCCCGCAAACTAACAATGTCATTCGATAAAGGATGTTTGTTCTATCAGATGATGATGTTAGATTGCGTGCAAGGTTACTTCCACTCACTTGCTATAAAAAAATGTTTTTCAGAATTATGAGAATATAAGATGTTATAATGATAATTAGTACTAGTAAGTTACAAAAAGAAGTCGTGAAGTATGTGGTTGACACATAAAACCTGTCAATATTGCTTTCAGTGCGTCACAATCAGCGATTTAACGATTCGTGAGCGCTCACTCTGAGTGAACACTCGCGAATCATAAGATCGCTGATTGTGACGCTCTGAAAGCGAAATTGACAGGTTCTATGAGTCAAATACATACTTTACACCCTCTTCTTCTTACTTACAGGTACAACACATCATATCATCTAATGATATCATAATTCCGAAAAACATTGTTTTATAGCAAGTGAGTGATTGCGTGGATGTATTTTTATTCGCGAGACATGTGCCTATAAAGTGTTTCCTTGTAGAGTCCATTTTTCCATCGCACACCACAATTTCAAGAGCACGCAACTCAAGATCTACGAGGACTATACGGTCTATACACAAGGGCGTAGCCAAGTTTCAAGCTAGGGAGGGGCGAAACAAAAATTTACTATGGAAAATTTGGCAGAATGCCATTTCTTTACCGATAGCCTTTGTGCTGCTGAGTTTAGGGGAGGGAGTAGCCCCCCTGCCCCCCTTTGGCAACGCATATGTCTATATATTTGCAAATTTCAGACATAGCTTGCTTCTCCGCAGCATACAACAAGTAGTAGTTTCACCTACGTGCATTCACAGAAAACTTATTATTTTTACCTATTTTTACATGTGAAACACGAAAAAGGACGCTACAGGGAATCACCTTAAACTTATTGTTTACGTTTGGCGCCTATTTCAATTGTTGCTCTAGAAGGGTACCACTTCGTTATGTTGTCGATGGCACTCGGATATCTAACAGTGATGGTGGTAAGCTCCAACCGGTATTATCCTCGGATTAAATCTCGATCAAGAATGTCCGGCTGGTTTGATGTCGACATCAGAGTTAATCAACATAACTCTGAGCAAACATTTTTCAGATCATACAAACAGGGACGGTATTAAAAGTTAATCCGAGTTGGAGCTTACCGCCATGAGAGAAGCTTCGAGCAGTTCCCTAATAAATTTGTTATGGTTATTTTGCTTAACGACGTGTTTGGGGTATCATCCAAACCATTTGTGGAAAAGTTCGACTATTTGGGTTATTGTTCGTTTATGATATTTGTTTATTAGGGTTGACCTTGCCATTTAATAGCTTGGCAACAAAAACTGCCTGTTGATTTTTCCGTCGGGGTTCCAGAGTGTCCAAACTCAGTAGATTACAGCGATTAACCGGTAGTTGTCATCGTGGATGATCAAATGGCATCATCAACAATTTTCGGCCTCTATATGTTGTCATACACACTACTCATTTAAATTTCCGTGCCCTGAGACCGACACATGCAATACAGAAAAAAAAGTTGTTGAATATTACATCCAAACTACTGCAACCACACAGAAAAAAAAAGTTGTTGAATATTACATCCAAACAGCTGCAAAGAGATCATTCCGCCGGTTGTGTAATATTACGTTGTACGATGTACATCGGTTTTGCGAACAAAATTACATCCATTGATGTAATATTGTATCTGCTTTTTGCTATTACATAATTATTTCATGCATCAGCTTGAATTACATTGATCGATATTACATTTTTTTTGCTGTGTATGGTAGGACCGAGGGTAGGACCATAGACCAGAAGGTCCCGAAGAAACGTGTTCATCCTTTTGGCTCAGCTCTGGTACTCTCTTCGGTCCCAAGCTAATCGATGTACCCCTCTAAACATAGGAAAATCCACGAACCCCTCATTTTATCTGTCAAACTTTCATAGCGAATGAAAACAAACATAGTATAGGCACAGACAAACAGACATAACACATTGAATATTTCTCATTGTAAAACATCGTCGCTAAAACATTACCGCCACCTGTTGAGTACACTGTGGTAGGTAGTACGCTGCACAGATGGCGGTAGTGTGTAAACGTCAAACGCAAGGGAATTTTCTATGCGCGCCACAGGTGGCAGTACTACCAACTGAGATACTTTCAAATTGACCGTTAAATGCTTGTTCGATGAACAACTTATGAGTGTTATGTCTGTTTGTCTGTGGTATAGGGTAAACGCTCCTATAGTTGCGGTTCGTTAGAAGCGTTAGGTTCCTATAGTTGTGTATTGAGTCTCCATGCACAACTATAGGAACCTAACGTACCGCAACTATAGGAGCACAAACGAAGTGACAGACGACTAACTGGCGAAGAAATCCATGTAAATAATGTGGTTCACTGTAATAGAATTTTCTTGGAAGCTTATGCCATCATCCACCAGATGGGTTAGTTTTTTTGTTTTGATTTGAACAAAGTTGATTTTGTGTACAATGATTCTTTGACAGTGTGCAAAGAGTGCGTATCATTTTGCCATTTTTTTATGCATTTCAGTTTTCAGTAGAGTGAAAGAGATAGAACCAAAACATTCCAGTACATTTGGTGAAAATGCTAGTTCAATCCAGTAGTAGTGTTGCCATGTGGTTCAATCCAGTAGTAGTGGTGTTGCCATGTGGTACACTGAAAAATTGCAATAGCAGGTTAGTCACCAAAGTTTTCGAGCCGCTCCGTCTGTCACTTCGTTTGTGATAGGAGTGTTTCCCTTAGTACTAGAATGGGGTACAAAGCAAAAAAATAATTTTGATATCACGTCAAAGTGGATGCACTACAATCAACAATCAATACGAAACTAACGATTTTAAATTGGCTCACCACTTTAGTAGCCTATTGGTCCCAAGCAAACGATTAACGTACCCTATTCTAGTTGAAATTCTATTACTACACTAGGTTTGTTTTGATTTGCTATGAAAGTTTGACAGATAACATCAGGGGTGTGTGGATTCATGCAGAACATGCAGGGGTGAGTGAAATAGCTTGGGACTGCTTGGGACCGTTGTTCTGGTACTGAGTGAGCCAAAAATAATAATGATTTTCTTCGGGACCCAGTGGTCTTAGAGTTACCTCTATGCTACAATCATGTCGAAAATATGGTGTAATATTACTTGCTAAAAAGGACAAAATTATCATTAATACAATGCATGAACTGACATTACGCTGCTTTTACTGCATTTGTTTATTTATGTGGTCATAAAAATTACATGAAATTTTCGACATGATTGTAGTGCATCCACTTTGATGTGATATCAAAATTATTTTTTTGCTGTGTACTTTAATCGATTTGCTTGGGACCAATAGACTAGTCAACTAGTGGGCCAATTTAAAATCGTTAGTTTCCACCGGTTGGTAGTACCACCGACAAACCGACATGACACCTCGCATGACACTTAATTCTGACTTATGCTCGAAAATCGTAAACGACCGTTTTAAATGTGCAGTGATTCGTAGTTTAACAAAACATGTAGCAGATCCCCCCCCCCCCCAAGGCCCCCTCCAGATAATGTTTCTAGCTACGCCAATGTCCCCTTCCCATTTCCATTCTTAATCCTTTTCCTGTACAGGCGAATGAGAACGACCCAAAAGTGCAGGTATGCAGGGATGAGTTTCCTATAGAAAACCTAAAAAATCTGCCGGAAAATTGACGAAAACTTTACTCATTCTAGTGAATTCAATTTTCACTTTTCTCATATTCGGGAAGTTTTTCCTGGACAAAAACAGGAGACAAATGAACTCATCGCTGCGTACCTGCACTTTGTGATTTATGAGTTAACAAAACTCAAATTTGGGCGAGAATTTCGGTCGTTCTCATTCGCCGTTTATGAAGGTAAGACAATAAATTCCCATGTATGGGGGATCATTCCATCTGAGCCAACATTCTGATACCTTGCACCTGAAATGCAGTTTTTCTTCGTCAAATATTGCTCATTCAATCTTTAGGTTTTCCAACCTATTTTGGGCCAACTTTTAAATATATTTTTAAATATTCTGTATTGTTTACGACTATTATTTGAATGTTAAAAACAGAGTTTCTTTAGAAATATAACAAATTGTTGTACATGCATTTATAAGCTTTAATTGTCGATGTATATCCTCCAGTTTAAACTAGCTGCAAAGGCCAGCCATGCTATGTAGGGAACTAACAGCCATCCCGCCAATCGGTTCACTTTAAAGAATGCTGCGCAAGTGACGATTGCCATAACGGTAAGGACGGTAATCAGGACGGCGCTCTGTATATACAAACAATAATTTGTGATTAGAATAGATAACATTTGTTTGATTTATTATGTATATGTCATACTTACCCATTTTAATTCATGCGCTATGAAGAACACTGGAGGCCACGCCCAGTTAAGCAATAGCTGTGCTACGTATAACACGAGGGGCCATCGTGCCGGTCCATTGAATCCGCTTCCATCTCGCCAAACTAGGTAGGACGCATAACCCATGGATAGATACAAAAATGTCCAAACTGGAGCGAACAACCAGTTTGGAGGACGCCATGTTGGAAGCAACAGGGTAGTGTACCATGTTTTGATAGCATCCCGTGTTTCTAAACTAACTAGAAAACCTCCAGCCACGGGTATCAGTGCAGCAGTCAAAACGATTAGTACTGTTTTCCACTGCATTGTGAAATAAACTAAATCCAAATTAGCTTGAATAAGAAGGTTGTGTGGATGAAAGGAAAACAAACTGAAAGAATGACGCGTCAAAGCGAGACATCTCGAAATCAACGCACACAGTCACTTGCTTGATTTTCATGTATCATAATTTTACAGTCTTTCCATGGCTAATACAGTGTATCTCAAAATTGAGCGTACACTTGAATGGCCAATTTTTTGAAACCCCGTGAATAGATAGATTTTTGAAATCTTGGCTGGAGGTTGAGCAACTATTTAGGTATTGATTTATCGGTGTAGTTTTGGACTTAATTAGCACAGCCTGTATGATGTTGAGCTGAGTACTGCGGACTAAATCAAAATGCTGTTCAAGCTGTTCACCTGGGAGCCGAGATGAAGTATCAGTCGGGAGCCACACATTGGAAAGTATGATTATTACAATCAATCAAGCTGGAAGGCATTGGCACTGAATACAAAAGATTTTTGTATACATTTTCCCCCCCGCTTTTTACAGCATTATTATAGAAATAATCCAGAACGATGAAATAGTTGAAAAAAATCCTGTGATGGAAGCATGTAAGCATTTTTCTGTAGTTCTTACAACATCATGGAATATCGCGCAATCTCGTCTTTGAAAGGAATTAATGACGCACAAGAAGAGTTACATTTTGCACTTAACTCAGAACTGATGGTCGACAATATTTTTCACGACACGTGGAATAATGCATTTAATTTGGCGCGATCGGAAGACTCGATAATATTAGCTGCTAATACTACAACCGAGTCATCAGTATCCAATGGCACAGAATGCTTCGGATGGAGTAGAAAAGTCATGGAAATTTCGCCTTTGAACGCGGTGGAGGAACTCATTTGCGAAGTAAAGTCCGCTGGCTCACTGATAGACGTAACCTCTTGTTTAGTATCACAAGCACTTTCTTCAATGGATGACAGACAAGAATTATCAGTAGAGTTTAACCATAGAGGTAACTCTAAGACTTGTAGGTCCCGAAGAAACGTGCTCAACTTTTTAGCTCAGCTCTGGTACTATCTTCGGTCCCAAGTTCGGACCCAAGCTAATCGATGCACCCCTCGAAACACAGGAAAATTCACGAACCCCTCATTTTATCTGTCAAATTTTCATAGCAAATCAAAACAAACATTGTGTAGGACTAGAATTTCGACTAGAATGGGGTACGCTAATAGATTTGCTTGGGACCAATAGGCTAGTCAAGTAGTGAGCCAATTTAAAATCGTTAGTTTCCACCGGTTGTTTAACCTTTTCGTTTTAGCAGGACGAGATACGTGATTACGTTTAAGGAAGTCTGAAAGGGAAATCAAATACTGCCTCTGATCGACATTGTATGAACTGTGTCTTCGAATATCCATATCCTGTGATGGGCTTATTGTTCTCAAATGTTGTTTCATTAGTAGTGCTGTTAAGGTCTTTTTTGCTTGATCCTGATGACTGAGAAAACGTTTTCGACTTTCGAGGCAATCTTGAGTTATCCGTGACGTATAAAAAAAATATATTATCAATCAGCGAATAAGTGTGCTTGCAATCGATGTATTGCCTTGGTTGTCATTACCGCCGCAGACCGCCATGGTTTCCAATGGCCTTTATTTCCAACGCTAAGCTCACCAAACAATGTACACACCATTGACATATTGTATAATGCTAAAGTGTAGTTCTTCGTGTCTGCATGATGCAACGCGTGGCAGTCGTCTTAAGAGTTCACTATATCAAACCATTTGGCCAAATCACAAATGTAAGCTGCCGTTTATTTTTAGTTGCATTTTACCAGTTTTTTCAGCAACTACTTCCAAAGCAGCCGCAAGGGTGTTATTGCAAAACTTTGTTGCATTCGATACTTTCATTTTGTCAATATTTGAAAGTGGGCTTCCTTCAAAATCAACATCAGTTGAGGTTAATCGATTGACAAGTTTAAAGGAAACAGCTCGATTTGATTCATCGTCTACTAACATTTTCAGATGACCTCGGTCTACAATGTTCGAAGAAAGGCTATGATTTTCAACATACCACTAGGGTAGCACGGTTTTCTTGTTAGATATCAAACCATGAACTGAACTTTTGAAAACATGCACCGGGTTAGAGATAAATTCAAGCCTACGAGCTGGATCTACTGGGTCCAACGTGTTTTTCCGAACATGCACACCAAACTCATTCTATATCGCTTTATTAGCACTACCAAAATCGGAAGTTACAAAATACACACGCAAATTAAGACCCTCTGCTTGTTCAATAATTTTCAACACAACTGACTTAAGACAACCATCAGGTACGGAATTACCGGTGAACTCATAAGCGACTATTTGCTTCCACCTCTGACCGATTCCACCGAGCATAAATACAAGGCCCTTCGATGCGAGCATTTCCCAAGATGGGAGTGTTGTATTCCCATACTACTTTTACAAAATTAGGACACAGCTCCTTCGCCTCATCAATGCTCATTTCATCTAGGAATAGGCCACAATCCCTTGCATTATTATCCATCATACATAGTTTATCACTCAATAAAATTATCATATCCTGCGTATATGAAACAAAAAATTATTAAAGTTCACGACAAATTGTATAAATATCACCCTGTGTCGAATGGAACACCTCGGATGTGCTCGAGGAATGTTCGCGTTGATGGATAAGGCTGATTCTGCTGTCTTAGGTAGTCGTACCCTTTACCACATGCAAATCTTGTCCGTAGGCCACGAACTATTGTTGGTTCTAACCACTTCTTAACTTTCTTTACTCGTCCCAACTCCCAAAGCTACCTGTATTTGATCGTTTTGTAGATCCGACCTAAACTTCCTGGTACATACTTCGAACTGTTTGTTTAGTTTGTAAAATTCGGCTTTCCAGTGTTGAACCCGTTTTCGCCACATATTCATTAACCTATTTGAACCGACATTTAATGTGTTTAGAAATGACAGAAAAATAAAAAAGTATACCTGATAATTCTTGCTTACTTACCTTACAGACTATTGTTCATTCTGAAATGATATTTCTGAAAGTGGCAAATTATTCACTTCACATAAGCTTTCCTCATCTCGAAAATAATCTTCTGGGTATGGATCTTCACTGACAAAATTTGCGTAGTTGTTGTCGAACAAACCAGGTTACGAATAAAGTGGCAAAGATCGTAGTTATTGTTTTACAACGTAAGTTTTGTTATCTTCTTCGCATCTCAGATTAATTTCTTTGATTGTCGGGATAGCATTTGTGGTACATACAAGCTTGCCGTGTCGATTGTATCGATTCGTTTTGATTTTATCGAAGTGGACATGCAATGCAAATTATTGGAAATCATCCGGACAATTTGATGTTGCACAAAATTACTTACCCCACACATCCGTGAGATACCCTTTAAGATTAAATCTTCATTATCACAAAACTTCAGCTACTGCGAACGTATAAATGTATTTGCTGGAAATCGATAGAAGCTTATTTGATCCGTCCGGCTATTCCTCTCGAAGCGTTTTTTTTTTAAATAACTCAAACGTCTTACACACCTTACCTAACAAATAAGCTCAATACTATACCTATAACCGATAAATGTTTGATGGGCCAGCAGTCAGTAACTCAATCTATCTTGTTAATTTGTACAGCTGTTTTTTTTTTCTAAAATTTAAGGACTGCTGCACGCTCAATATTGAGGTACACTGTAAATGTATTTAACTGTTAAACAAATTGATCTTCGTCGATTAATTTTTAAAATTTTAGCAGTGGTACACATTTGACCATTTTGTCCGAAGAAAGAGTCGATGGGCTCTTATTTCTGCCAGTAACTGTAGAAGCGTGAAATTAGCAGAACGTAAATCTCGACGCAAATAAAAGAAGTGTATGTACATTGTACATACAAGCCTTAGTATGTTATTTACTTAACAAACCAAATAATCAAAATTGTTACTAAAGGGACTGTTCATAAACTACGTAGAATGTTTAGGGAGAGGGGAGTTCGGTGAGTTACGAACCATATTTTTTTTTTAATTATATGGACGACTGTCTTTGTAAGGGGTGGCGGTCTAAAATCTTTCAAAATTCTTCACGTATTTTATAGACAGCCCAAGCGTAGTTTTTACATATTTTCGAGTATGGTGACTTGCATAAAATTGACCAAATATATGCAACGTCATGTTTATTCATCAATTACCATCTTTGGTGTTTTCTTATACATCGCAATGACAAGCTAAAACAAATTTTTTGGAAGATGAGCTCTAGAATCAAAGATTAATTCTTTGTATCAGATAGGGCTAAACTAATACAACTATTTGTATTGTATTGCCTGTTTTTGCCAATGTCCGAGTTATTTAGAAAGAAAATGTAATTTATTTCCTTCCAAATATTATGATTACATGATTATTTATTACATATCAAATACGATTTTTCGTAAAAGGTTGTCTTTAATCTAGGTATTCAATGCATGTAGAAGCTAGTTAAGCAAAGAAAAGGAAGCGGCGATTGAAAATATACCGATTAATATTAAAATAGTTTATGGATAGCTTTCAATCTGTTGAACACGAATTGCTTCCTTGACAAATTATTGTCTTTTTCCATCACTGCTTTTTTTTGGTAATAATAAGACACAAAAATCGTCCTCAACTGAAAGCGCCCTTCAAAGAAAGCAAAAAGAAAGAACCAAGAAAGCAGACCACGTCTATATGAGGTGGTCGTTAAGTGTTGTGTTATAATTAAATTTCACATGTTGTGTGTGAACACGTGTTGTCCCGAAGCATTCAGCCAAAGTCTTCCTGTCCGCCTCACGCCCAGAAAATTACATCCAGACCTGAAAATTTCATCTCAACGTTTATCCACCGTTTACCAGCAGACTGAGCGGCTGAGAGCCAGATGTTGTCGAGATCGTTACATGCATGATTGCAGTGGTGGTCACAGATTAAGCTTCTTGTACTTCTGGAGTTGCATACATACCTACGAACTAATAACTTTTTCTCATTTTCCTTTGTCTATTATGTCTCTACTGAATCTTCATTCTTGCCCTGTACTAAGTGTTCTTT